CAGGCCCCCTCTCTTCTCCCACCATGGCACTGGGAATGGCCATGGTTTGCAACTTCAGCTGGGAAGAGACGCTTGTAATTGGGAAGGCAGTGAGGAAGACACACAGACAATTATTCTTTCTGCCAGGATATGGAGCTTGAGCCTGTGATATAGGACATCCTGTAATTCACAGGACAAGCAGCAACCCTAAATAGATTAAGAATTTGATGTATTGTGGTTATCTCACCTACCCTGTAGGCTAGCAAAGGGAACCCGACAAGAAGATTTCTGCACAGGGCTGCCTAGGACAGAGTTACAATGGATACTATGTTCAGCTAAAACTGAAGGGCAGTTACCGTTCGGGTCTGGTGGCGAGTTATGTTGCTACTCTATGGAGAGAGAAAAAAAAAGTCTTTTTTTGTTTAATAAGCATAAATGGTCAGCAGTTGGTCCCAGTCTAACGTGACCCTGGTTCAGAAGGAAGAGCCCCGCTTCCTGTAGCGCCCAAAGCCATTTTTTTCTGCTCCACATTCAAATGGAAACAAGGCCTAAGATCTAAAGCGTTCTTATGGTTTAATCAGGTTGCAGCTTGTAATAGGCACAGGACTGAACAAAACCCCTCCTGACAGGAAACTCAGCTGTGACCTACTTGAGCATACATGAAGTTATACCCTACGTGCGGCAAAGTGGTACCCATTCATACCTCCGCTGATAAGAGAAACATGAACGAGGAAAAGCAGGAGTGCCAAGAAAGCGTTCACCCAGGTCCCACATACCTCACCACACTGCAGTCTTCCCCCCCGCCCTTTTTTCCTGCATTTGTTTAATGTCACATAGAATTTTTACCTTAAGAGCTGAAACGGGACGGCCCCGTTGGCAGCCTGCTGCTTTGCTTTGGAAGAGGGGCTGTGACTGCAAACGTGGCCACACTTCTCCTTCCCGTCACCAAGAGCTGAGTCCCACGGCTGCCCTCAGCAGATGGGGAACAGCTCTTGTACATCAGCTGTCAGCCAGACTTGGGCTCTCCCAGAGCAACCCGTCTCTGCGGCAGGCTCCCAAAAACCACCTCTTCTGCCCACAGTACCAAGGCTTGACCACACCAAGCTAGGCATGAGCTTTACTGAACCACCCAGAATACAGGACAGCCATCCAACCAAGATGCATCTTTTCAGCAATGCCATTTACTTCCTAAATGTTTGGGTATTGTCAAAACCAAAGACTTCTCCTAGGTGATGCCATTCTTCCTGAGAAAGGTAAACCCTGCCTGTGATGGACAGACCTACTCCCAGGAGGCTTCTGCTACTTTTCCAGAGATTTCATGATCCCCTTCGAACACAGCAGCCACTTCACACTGCTTGCAGGGAACAGACCTCTCCTTACTCCATCCCACCTCCACGCCTAGGAAATTGTAAAAACCCGATCCTCCCCCGCAAAGCATCTCCTATTATGAGACTCATCTACCCACATGTAAAAAGAAGTCTATCTGTTTTTCAAGTTTTTATCTCACATGGTATTTTCCCTGACTCTGAATCATGGCCCGTGTGGCTGAGCTGGGGGCAGGGAATGACTGAGAACTGCCAGAGCTGTAATGGCCACAGGGCAGTGGTCAATCACAAGCCTCTGCTCCCCAGTTCCTCTTCTGCCATGACAGAAAAAGGGCATACGTGTTCACCCAAACATCAGCTTCCCTCACCTACACACTCCTTTCTTTCCTAATGCTTCTTCCTTTAGAAAATACACTTAGAAAACCAGACCAGAAGCAGGAGAGCAAAACGCTCCTCTGCCCGAGGGCCAGCAAACTGGGGATTTGCCTTTAAAAGTAATACTCTCCGTTAACAAAAATACATTTCTTGAGACCTGATGGACCATTTGTTAAAATGCAGGTGCGATTTCACTGGTTTCTGGAGAGTTGTGCCCCATTAGATCAGTAATACACCTAATGCCTAGTGCTAGCATGAGGCCCTGGCCAGGAGAATTAGGGTAAATTGGGCCGATCTCTTTGCAGTGAGAAGGAGGTCTGTCAGGCTGCAATCACTGTAACAAGAGTCCTCCCCTTGTGTTTTGCGTACCAGAGGAAGCTATGGGCATTAGCAGGTTATTTAATGAACATTATCACTCTAACTTCCATGGTGCAACAACTGACTGGCCATTGTTGTCACTTTTTAGCCAAGGTATTGGTAATTCTGTACAAATAGATGCATCTACATAATACTAAAAATATCTGTAGCACAAATCCAAAAACATATGATAGATGTCCTTCAGAAGCATGTATGTTCTTTGAAATATAAAAACCCCACCACCTCAGGCCTTCTTCTCCATGCCAGCCTTTACTTCAGTCTGTCTGAGTACTGCTTTTCATATCTTTTGATTTTTATACTGGTATTTTCTTATCCTACTTCTGCAGGAAAGCCATCGTGGACTGCTACAACTGATTCTTTGGCATACACAGACTTGCCTTTTTTTTAAAGCACAGTTCCAAGTTCAGCAGTGAAAAGGTAATAGGTTACTGAAAAAAGTCAAAACAAGTAAAAGTAGAAAAACATCTTAGAGGTCAATGGTTAACAGGGGCTAAAGACGCTTTTTCCATGATCTTTGCATTGACAGCAGGAAGCACAGACTTCCATTGTCTAAGAAACAGAAAATGTTTTGCATATTTGAGATATAAATATTTATCTGAAACTTACACCATTCTGCACCTTATCTTGTGTATCCAGTTTATAAGCTAACACAACACAGAATTAAATCTACAACAGGTTGCACCTACATTTGGTGGAGGGGAAGACTTTTCTTGATGCTTCCAAGCAATTCTGTGAAAGTAACCACTTCCCAGTTGTTTTAACTTTAATTACAGGATACCACACCATCACAGCATTTCTGAATACAATGTTGTTTCAGGGCAAGATGAAAAAATATGGAGCTGATATTGTTTTATCAGGTCTATTTTATTTTTCTCCCTTTTTAGCCATTGTAGGCAGTCAGCCAGGTTACTGGATACATCGCAATGCCAAATCCACAATACGGAGCCCACAGCTAAGAATTAAAATGTAACGTAACTTAGGACATAAATCTAGCTGCCTCACAATCAATGGGTTTTAAAGATTTAAAAGATTTTAAAAATTCTACATTAACATTAAAAAAAGAAAAAAAGGTGGTACTCCTATAAATTTTGAAGGGCTAATAAAGTCAGGTCTGGCAGCTGAGAACTAGAGTTACTTCACAAGTAAGGACTAACTGGCAGTATGTTTTAAGTATGTGAACTGCAAATCTTTGTTTTTGATTTTCACACCTGTGAGATTATCTCATTAAAAAAGAAAGAGGGAGTAACCAGGTGCCAGATATAACTACATTGCTCTGTTTTCAGTGGTTTCAGCAGGCAAGCTCACACAGAAGCCATTTGGTTCAAAACACTTATAATACTCATTTAGAAGTTCAGCAGAACATGTAAAGCACCCTTTCCCTGCGGACTAATGCAGAGACAAATGTGACTATTTCACCATAAGATGTCATTTCTCAATAAATAAAACATGTAAAATAAAACCTAGAGAAATATGAAGACTATCAGAGGAGAGAGTCTGACAGCAAATGGGCTCTTTCCTGCTGTAGTCCCCTTACAAACCATAACCGTCAAAAGGCTATATGAGTAGCACCCTGCCTGGGAGCTACCTCCCCACCTACAAGAGCAGTGCCTGTGAAACAAGACCAGGACACCTAAAGGGCCTCTTCTGCACACATGGTGTGATCCGAACAGCACAGCTGATGTGCCAAAAGGAAAGAGGAGCATGTGCAAAATCACTCTGGGTACTCCCTCAAGTGTAACTGGGAGCCTGTTTGTATGGGTGCTGCTTTCTGATGGCCCAAAATACCCTAAACATTTATATAGCAGCCGTAAGTAACAACCCATCTTCCAGTCAATGGAGAGTTCTGAGAAATTAAATAGCGATGCTTCACCCTGCAGCCACGCTATATCAGATGTGAGACAGTCAGATAAAGCATAGGCAACATTTACTCTAAAATGAAAACAAATGCTCCAGAAGCACGTATTCACAAGACACCTTTTTATCTGCATTTCTGGTACGGTCAGTTCTTCCATCTATAAAAGGTACAGTCTCACGTATTTGACTCATAAAACAATATTAAGTATTTCAGATTAGCATTTGTCACAGTAAGGTAGACATCTGTCATTCCAAGCAGAGAACTCATGGCCACGTCTACGCTAAAAGCTGTTTACAGTTCAAATAATTCTCGCTTCCGACGTATAGGGACACAGAAAGGAAGCCTGTGGAAAAGCACCATGCAAATCTAGTCACCTACTGCATGAGCTGCAGGTACGCTGTATCCCAGCGCAAGGCTACGTAAGAGCGTTCACTGCCAAGAAAGGGTAACCACGGTGTGGGACAGAAAGCAGGGGGAATCATTGCGATGACTGAACTCACACGCAAGGCTAACTGTGCCTTGAGACAGGGTGGAACAGTCTCAGTAAAGCACAGCGGTTACACGGATGTAAGGAAAGACTCGGAGAAGAAAGTTACATAAACAAGGAAATACTCAGTAACTGTCAGCCTTAAAACGGATCTGGCAGCCTGGGCAGCAGCCCCTTACATTACACGCATTCTAGCAATTTTAAGCGGAGGTTTAGAACTGCAGCTTCTGCCACGGCTCCCGCTGACAGCCTCCCACCCCGACGTCGAGGAAGGCATACCTCCGCTCCTGCTGCGTCGTCGCTCACATTCGAAGCCGCCAACAGCGGCTGCTGCCGGCTGCGCTCCCTCGGCCGCCGCCGGCCCTCCCGGGACACCGTGCCCTCCCGGGACACCGTGCCCTCCCGGGACACCGTGCCCTCCCCGGCACACCGCCCGCCGATCGGCCCCCCGGCCGCCCCGCACCGCCGCTGCTGCGGGGCGCGGACTCGGTGACCTGCGCTCGGGGCAGCCCCGGCTGGCAGCGCGGTGAAATAAACTCCCCCCTCCCGGGTCTCTTTGCGGGGACGGCCCCGTTGCTCGGCGGCCCCGGCACTGCCTTACCTGGCTGTCCCGGCCGCCGCCGCGGAAGGAGCCCCGGCGCCGAGGGAGGCGGAGGGAGGGAGGAAGGCTCCGGACTGCCCCGCTCCGGCCCGGGAAGGCGGCGGCGTCGGCGCCTCCTCCTCCTCCCG